GGCTAGGACCAGGTGCGCGGCCCGCGGGCGGCGCTGTGCGCGCGGGGCAGCCGGGCGGCCCGGAGCGCGAAAGCCCGGTCGGAGCCGGAGGGGGGCGGGGAGTGTGGCGGAGAAATGGGGAACAATGCGAGTGAGCAACTTCAGGAAGTCATTGTGAAAGAAAGCTGGGAAGAGCTCCGCGGCCAAGTTAGCAGGGCACTCTAACAAGTGCCTGCTCAGCCCGCGCCCTGGGCGGCGACTGCGGCGACAGTCCCTTGGTCCCTGCGGAGCGCAGCCCGTCTCGGGCGGGACGCTTGGTCGCGACGAGGTAGGCGACCCGGGCGAGCCCGGCGGGGCAGAGGGAGCCCAGCTTCGAGGTTGCTCTTCGCGCCCGAGGATCAGTCTTGGCCCCCGAAGCGCGACGCACAAATCCACGTGAGTGTTTTTCAATTGAATTTCGCAAAGGTAACTTCGGGTAACTCGTGGATTAAAGAAATACAAAAAGAGCAGGAAAGAAAGAAAAGACAAGGCGGTAAAACTCGTAATCCCTGATGTCGCTCTGGTCCGTCTCTCCCTTCTGAGGACAGTGAGAGCGTTGACTTTTCTCAAAGCCTCCTCCGCTTTGGGCTGTGACCGCAGGTGCAGGACCAGGCCGGCATGGGACACTTCTGAACAGCCCCTCTGTCACCACGAAGAGGATGTTCTAGCTTCCAGTCATATTTAAATTTATATGTACTCGTACTTATATAGCGAGATCACAGAAGTCAGGCTTTTTAAAGTTATTTGTAAAGAGCTTTCCTTATTTTTTTTAAAATTAGATCGAGTCTCAACTTGCTTTCTGCAAAAAAGGAATTTTGCTGGTTTTGAAAAGTGGATACTTCTGCCGACTGCACATTTGGTTCTTAGGTCATGAAACCTTCTAAGGGAAACCCTCAGTAGTTTTAAGGCATCAGGTTACTTGCGGTTATATTTGAAATGTATTTTAAAAATTTGTCAAGCGTCACTGGTGATTCCTAAGCAATCTCATGAGGGTGTGATTATTTTTCCTTCTCATTTGGAGGCAAAGAGTATTGCATCTAGTGACGGAGAACGGTAGCGATTGCATAGGGTCTGATCAGGCAGAGCTTTGAAATGCAGTTTCTATTCTCTCTTGGGGCTGGAGCCCACCCAGGCTGAATTTCAAGGTGATGTGCTTTGCTTGGGTTACCCACGCATAATTTCCCTCCTTGCTGCAAACAGTATGTTTCAGCTTTGAGGCACCTTGTTTTAAACTTTCAGAGGCAAAATGATGGTGTTGAGGGAATAATCTCCTTACTAGTCAAATCAACTTCTGCTAAAATAGGAAAATTTATGGAAGTTGGAAATACTTAATATGTATAATATTTAAACTTACATAGAAATGCAAATGCTTTTAAGGATTGTTTCACTTTGGTTATGAGTTGAAGGGGGAGAGAAACGTGCAGGAAATTGTCTCAGGCTGTCTTGAATTTCTTTCTTTCTTTGAAGATTTTGTTCGATGAGGTTAATTGTACTCATCTTTTATATGGGATTTTGAAAAGTAATAATTGAAATATTATTTATATTATAAATAATAGAATTGTTCCAGTGACAAATCAGATAATTTAATATGTGGCTTAAAATGTAAACAGGGAAAATATTCATGACGGGATGGTTCACCTGCTTCCATCAAGATTCTGTAATATGCAGAACATGTTAAATAACTTGTACACGTACACATAAATAATGAAGTCACATTTTAAAAACTATACCATTCTGGTTTGATAGAGTGTATCTGATTTCAAATTTTCCCATGAACATATTTGTTCATACCTTTGTTTATGTGGAAAAATTTGCTTCCTGGTCTTGTAGTCCATAGGACTGATGACTGAAACATTTTATTGAGTTAAATGGTCATTTTTTTTTTCCTTTTTGTCTCATGGTGATAGTTGAAGGCAGGAGTTTGGAAACTCCACAATGCTTGTTTGTTTAATTCATCCCTGTTTTAATTAGAGTGACACATCTTGGAACACTACATATTCCTAAAAATTTAGGAACATCATTGTGATAATAGCCCACCATCATCATCTCACAGGTGATCGTAAAAGCTGCAAATGAAAGTGTGCATGTGTTACGTTTGATCCTTTTGAGAAGTGTGTGCGCAGTCTCCTAAAGACAAGGTAAACTGTGGCTGTGCCGCCCACCATCATCATCTCACAGGTGATCGTAAAAGCTGCAAATGAAAGTGTGCATGTGTTACATTTGATCCTTTTGAGAAGTGTGTGCGCAGTCTCCTAAAGACAAGGTAAACTGTGGCTGTGCTTGCAGCCATTTCCCTTGCTGAAAAATTAAGATCACTATTGAATTTACTGGCCAAGAGGTCCAAAGCCGAGCAATACTGCAGGCCACTGTGTGTCTTCCTTACTTGACGAGAGGCTTAGAGTTTGAGAATGGTGGTTCTTTGGTTTGGGAAAAATTTTTCCCTTGATTTGGATTTGTGTGTTTTACATTTGGTTAATGTAGTAGCATATTGTCAAAATAAATGTCAAAACTTTTGAAACTGAGAGAATACTAGATACATACATATATATATATATATGTCAAGAATATGTGTATAATATGTGTATATTAAAAGACACAGGGAATAAAGAAATCACATGTGTATATGGACACACACACACACACACACACACAAGCATGGAGTGGGAGAGACATGGGGGCAGCGTTGAAAAGAGTTTTAACATCAGACAGACGTATCCTGGGTCTTAAAGCCTTTTTTTTTTTTTAACCTTTTATTCAAACAAAATGAATTTCCCTATTTATAATGTTGAGTTTAGGCATAAATGATATTAGTATTTTGGATTTGCCTAATTTTGTGTATTCATGTAATAGAATTACAGTTAACCAATAATTCATCAAGGATAGCACCATTTAGTGGCATTTTTTCCTTCTCTAATCTTTGGAATTGTGAAATAATTGCATTATGAAGTAAATATTGGTTTTTGTTGACATATTCTAAGGGAGCTTCCTATAAGTGAATCCAGCTCCCAGAAAGCAAACCGAGACCCTTTCGGGTTCTCTGAAAACCCTCACCTTCTGACACCTCTGTTTCTGAGACTGACAGGTGTTTTAGGGTGTTGTGACTCCTGCTTCTTGTGACAGAGTTGCTACTGCTCCTGCCCTGACTGTGAACATCCTTCTCTGTCTGGTGTCCTTACGTTCATATTTGCAGAGACTTCAGAGCTATTTAATTCACTGTGTGTTGTGTAATAATTCCGTTTTATGGGAGAAAACACAAGATGTAAATGCAACAAGTGACCCATCCTTTTGAGGCTTACAGCAGGAGAAACAGGAATCGATTTGCCATCTCAAAGTACAGTTTTATTTTGCTCACAAAAGGCACATGCACATTTTTGATCTGGGTCTTAGAAATGTTGAGTTTCAGAGGATCAGCATTATACACATACACCCACACATTTAAAATTCAGATGAGTAACGAGGTAGGAGTGGGGTTTTGTTAAGGACTTAGGGCACCCAAAATCAAACTAATAGCAACAGCAACAAAACTGTTTTTGCTGTGGTGCTGACACTCACACTGGTTTCTTCCTATAGACTGTGGCTTTATTGTGTTTGTTTGTAGTTTAATAAATGACATCATAGCTCAGGTTACCCTTCTACATTTCCTGGAATTTTTGCTCATGTCCTTAGATTTTCAGTGCCATTACTTTCATAGTTTCTGTTTGACATAGTGTTTAAATGTTTGATGCTATTCTAACAAATATTTTTAAGACATTATGAAACAGTGAGGTTGAAGTGCTGCATATTGCAAGTGGAATATAACAGCAATCGAAAGAAGGTTTGCAGAAAGTTTTAAGTGGGAAGTGGGCACCTGCCCCTGTTCTGGTGTGTCCCTGGAGGTTACTCCTGAGAAGGGCCCGAAGGAACAGCTACTGAGGCCTAATCTATAGGCAACTGCCAAATTGTTTCAGTTGACTTCTGTTCCTTCTCATGTTTGAGTGTGATAAATAGGTGGATGCCAGAGGTGTCTCCATTCAACCACCTGGTGATAAACTGTTAAAAATGGTGAAAACCCCAAGTCGCAGGTGTGGGAGCCTGGCCCTATTTTCCCTCATGGCCATTTCTGCCTTTGGGGAACACTCAGATCCTGTTGACTAAAACAGCACCCTTTTCCACCACAAGCCTGACAAATCAGACATCCACATAATTTCTGAACTCATTTTGGTTAGGACAGGAAGCACAGGCTCCCTTCCTGTCTGTGTTTTCCTGAGAGAAAACCATCTTCTGTCCTTTTTTGCATATTTGGCAAATGGTTCCACCTATCTCTGCGCCCCAGTGCAGCGTGGAGGTAGTGGTGGAACCTTGGAGGAGGAGGAGGAGGAGGACACGGAGGCTCTGCCACCTAGGCACCAGGGGCCCTCCCAGGTGGCTGAGTCACAAGGGGACTCTGAGCAGCCCTGGGTCCTCCAAGCCTGGATTTGTGTGGGAAAGGTTGCTGGGGCCTGGCCTCAGGGAGGCAGCATTCTGGTGAGTGCCATGGGGGTCTTTGACTGCGCTCAGATCGATTGGAGCAGCCAGTGTGTTCTTGCCTCTTCCCTGCTGGCGTTTCCTCCCAGCAGCCCTGGCTGGGCCGGCTGTCTCGGGTGCTGGAGAGCATCACTGTGCTCCATCTGCACACTCTGCTTGCCGATGGGCCCCATGCTCCTCCTCCTGAGAGCTCATGGCGCAGGGCCACAGCCTAATGGATTGCTGAAAATGAGCCCTAATTAGTGGGAAAGGGCTTTCTTCCTATTTTCTCATTGAAGTGTGCAGGGATCCATCTTTCTTCAGCAGTCAGCTCACTGCTAAGGGAATTCTGACTCTTCCCGCCATTTTTACACCAAACGTTAACTACAATGGGTAGATGGTTCGGTATGAGAGGGAGATGTGGTGTGAAGGAGGGACCTGATGTGGTCTTGCTGGTCTTCTCCCCTTCCTTCCCCTCCTTTTTCTTTCTTCTTTCTTTCTGTCATTTGTGGAGTTTTTGCACAGACTGTTGAAACTACTAAGCACTGCATAAAGTGTTTTGGAATGGCCTTATAGAACTCGAAATAGATTTTTATGTTCCATTTTTGAGGTTACACACTAAAATCTACACTTTAAAGCATTTTCTGTTAGTTGAAAGCTGTTTGAAAATGAACAATATGGTTTGGATTAGAGTCCTTTTCTAAAGCTAAGAGTTGAACTATGAATATTATTTACCAGCTTTTGATAAATTTTCGTTGTTATATCAGATTTTCGCTGGCAGACTGGGATCAAGTAAAATTCTGCATAAGAACTAACCTAATGAATGCCCTGAACCTAATGGGAAAAATGTTTAATTTAGAATCTTTAGGAGAAATGAAAATGAGGAATTGACCTTTTGTCAGCTTATTCTGAGG